GATCTTCAGGTGGTAATTTGAATGCGCATTTTGGAAATTTGGGCCAGTGGTGAAACGAAATAAGAAGCTTCCTCTAGTCTTACTAATCACTAAAATGAAGGTAGAAACAGATCACCTTTACCGAAACTACTCGGAATTATTCGCCTAACCGTTTGTTTATATACATTTCTCCATGCATTTTCTTGCAATCTCCCCAAAAAGGAAAAGTATGGCGAAGTGAGATCCGATGGTGGTCTCTACCAATTCATGTCTTCGGGAAATTGCAATTCAACCAATTATAATTAATAATAATTCACTATTATACAAAAGTGCGGGAAACATCCATCCAATAGAAATCGAATTTTTTGTTCGAAGATTTCATGTTTTCTTTCCCGTTTTTGCTCATTTCTCGGAAGCAAAATGAGCAAAAACGTTAATTTTTACATCATTCCAAAGAGAACTAAATGGCCTTTATAGAAAGTGAACCATCGATAAGGAAATGTTGGCAGTTTTCTCAAAAGAGTCGTGATTTCAAGAAGTTTTAGATTTGCGTGTTTTTTTTTGAGTTGCAAAATCAATTCGAACATGACGCTGCTTTTTTCGAAGTTTCTCAAGCCTCATTTGAGCCACAGAATTTGTTTTGGCATCGTTGGATAGAGAATTGGAAATTCAATTCATAACAACATAAGTGAGGAAATTCGACTAGTTTTGACCCAGAAAGCGAAATTTCAATATAAAACACTGAGGTGCAAGATTATACCAAAATTTTATGTTTTGCGTCCCGTTTATTTTTCTGTAATATGTGCATGTAAAAATTAGCGTTTTCCCTGTACCCTCTATTTGTAATTTTGTAGTTATTGCTGAAGACAATGAGGACGTGCAAAAATCAGTATGAGTTAAATTATCAAAAAATGCTTGTTTTTAATGTAAATATTTTGTAAATCTGCTGGGGATTCAGCTTAGAAAATTAACTGTTTCGGCCCAATCAGCCTTTTTTATAATAATACCACGACGTTATTTTATCAAAAATTCCACTGAAGCCTTCCGCAATTACATATTTCGAATCTTCTCATGCAAATCTGCTATACTTCTGCCGACAAAGTCGGGTTTCAGCTCTTCGGCAGCATCCCATTGAGCCACTTGCTCCTGTTTAGTAACTCCCGACAGAACTAAAAGGGTCTTAAAACCAGAGTTAATTCCGAACTGAATGTCTGAGTGAATACTGAAACAAAATTCGGGAGTTGAAGTATGACGATGATCGAAAGTTGAAAATACGAGTATACGCACTTATCGCCAACCATTAAGACGCGACTTCCTGTTGGTAGATTGAACTTGGATACAATCAACTCCCCCAAAATGCCACCTGGTTTTCCCATTTTGATGGCTTTCGTCTGCGTTAATCTTTCGATTCCATCTATGTAGAATTGGCTGCCTGGAAACTCGTTTGGTTAGCAAATCCGCATCCAAAATCTTCTAAACAAATGTTTTCCTTTTGCTTAGTTAATACGAGAACAATGAAGCAAGCGACTATAAAGTATTGACTTTAGTCTGGGTGCCCTAAACGTTGCATTGAACACAATGTTTCATTGTTGTTTACCTAACAAGCGCCGGAAGTTATAATTTGTCGCTCGCTGATAGCGAACGAGAGGTCAGACAGAAATCAAGTTTCAATAAAAAACTTAGAAAAATGCAATGTTTAACCGAAATGAACAGAATGGAAAAACATAAAGAATAATCTTCAATTTCAAATGGATTTCTATAAGAAAACTTGTTTTTTATTACAAATACTAAAAATTCACATATGCGCCTAATTACTACC